TCATGAGTGCTCCCTACCCTACATTGGAAGGGGGTGCTGATGAAGTCCCCTGGGCTGTGTCTACACTGGCCAGTTATTCCGGAAAATCAGCCGCTTTTCCAGAATAACTTGCTAGCTGTCTACACTGGCCGCTTGAATTTCCGGAAAAGCACTGACGATCTAATGTAAAATCATCAGTGCTTTTCCAGAAAAACTATGCTGCTCCCGTTCGGGCAAAAGTCTTTTTCCGGAAAACTGTTCCAGAAAAGGGCCAGTGTAGACAGCAGAGATTTCTTTTCCGCAAAAAAGCCCCGATCGTGAAAATGATGATCGGGGCTTTTTTTGCGGAAAAGCGCGTCTAGATTGGCACAGACGCTTTTCCCCAAAACGTGCTTTTCCGGAAAAGCATCCTGCCAATCTAGACGCGCTTTTTCCTAAAATGCTTTTAACGGAAAACTTTTCGGTTAAAAGCATTTCCGGAAAATCATGCCAGTGTAGACATAGCCTTATAGAATGTCTACAGAGCAGCATTATGTTGGAATAACTGACATCTACACAGCAAGCCATTGTTTCGAAATAATGTCAAGCTGGAGGACTTCTTACTCCGACTTCTGTAACCCTCATTTAATGAGGAGTAAGGGAGTCGAAGGAAGAGCATTCTTCCTTCGACTTCCTGATGAGTAGGCAGCGCCGAAAGCTGAATTAAGCTATTTCGGCTTCAGCTACGCAATTGACACAGCTGAAGTTGCACAGCTCAATTTGACTTTTGACCTGCTGTGTAGACGTGCCCTGATGGGATAGTAGCAAGTGGATAGTCACTGGGACCTTTCACTAGGCAGCATTAGTGTTTGTGTGAGCTTTGCAGGGTACCACAGCACCATCCGTGCCAAATCTTCTGCCATCACCCCCACACCTGCTGCATGTCTCATCGCCCAGAGAGACACAATCACTGACACTATTGTTATTCTCATAGCAACGGGGCCAACAGCCACCACAGGCCCCTTGGTAAGGTGTGGGGGGGTTGGCTCTGCACCCCAGAAGGGACAGGACCTCCGGTGAAAGAGGCAGGGCCAGGGGCAGCCAGTCCTCAGTGCTGCCCAGACAGCAGTGTGTGTTCCCCCCGTTGCCTCCCACCAAGCCCTCAAAGCCAGGTGGAGCACACAGGCAAGGCAAAATTTCCCATCCTACTATGCTGAGGGTGTCATGGCAATAACCATTTGTTCTTCAAGTCATACCTCCACCTGTGCCATCTCTGGTGTTGCAATGGTCGTTCAGTATTTGTAGGACTGCTTTTTCAGCCCCTGCATTCACCTTGAAGGCACTGCACACATTTTTAATTAACAGTGACAACCAAACAGTTACAATTTAACAGAAGCTGCCCTCCCCAAATAATGCTTTCAATCTGGACATTTTAATCTGCTCTGGTCTTGCTGCCTCGCTCAGCAGCAAGGAGAGGTTGGTGACCACTTAGCAAGTGAGATATTTGCTTCATTCCAAGGTTGGAAGAGAGCGGAAACAAGAAATCTCTGTTAGCAGAGAGTGTACAGCCACTGTGACCGAGACACCAATGACCGTATAACCAAAGCTTCCAGGCCATACCGGTCTCTCCAATTGAAAAACACAGCAATCAGCACATCTGCCACATAGCCAAGATCAGTCCAGACAGTAAGAGCTACAACTTGCAACCTTTTCTAGCATACAGACCCCTTTTCAATCTATTCAAATTTCACAGATCCCTCCCCCAGGGGAGAAAAAAAAGAAAAGGAAAAGAAATTCGGTAGGTCCAATCCTTATTTTTAAACTTTCCATGGACTCCCTGAAGTACCATCATGGAACACCAGGGGTCTGTGTACCACAGGTTGGGCACCACTGACCTCCATGAAAGAGCATCTAGGAAGTTACTGAAAATGAAGGCATTAGAGCCAGTCACTGTGGGAACCTCATAAAGTACACCCTGCAAAGCTTCATCCCAAGAATAAATCCTGTGTTTTCTCAGTGACTGGTTCTCAAGGGCGGAGTACCAGATCCATGGATCTGAGCTCTGGGCTGGGACATGAGCTCCCAATGCTCAAAGTTTAAATGCACAGCCAGGAAGTAGTGGGGTCACCCTCTAGAGGGGAAGGTGAGGTAGCCCTGGCAGGGACCACCAAACGTGCTAAGAACTGGAGGCTTTGATCGGTGTGGAGCCTGCCTGGATTGAAGGTGCACCCTGTCTAGTATTCATCCACCACTGTGCACCAGGACAGGCACTTCAGCTTTCCCCATTGGCAATGGTTCGACATCACATCCTCCCCATCACATGAGAGCCCCCACTCCATCTCACTTCCCTACCTTAGTTCAACATCTATGTTGAATCCTCGCAGTACTTCTTCTACCAACTTCCCAATAAACTGTACAAGCAATGCCACCAAACCACAAGCTGCTATAACCATGCAGGATCCAGGACTGGGCAGATGCCTCCTCTTAGAGGAAAGTCCAGCCAGCTCTGCCTGACCTCTCTCTGATAGCCTGTTCTAGAATCCACAGAACAATCCTGTAGGGCTTTGTGACATCAGCAACTCATCCCCAATAAGTGACATCACAATCCCTAGGCAGGGCTGGGGCAAATCCCAGTCACCACTCCATAGGTAGATATCTGCCCCTCAAGCTGGCCTCCTGTCACAGACTAATTCATCTTCTTAGGAATCAAAATTTGGTCAAAATCTCCTGTGGCACATTCTTGTGACAACGGAAATTTTCACCCAAATAAAATAAACCTTCCCCCTTGCTGCTTCTAGCAGATAGAGGCAGCAAATAAACAGATACAAATCCATGTTCTTTGCAAATGTGCACATTTTCATTAAAAAAAACCCACCCAAAAAAACCCACATTTTCAGCTTAAAACATAAATTTAACATTTAATTTTTACCAGTTGCAACAAAGATGAAAATCCCCAACATTGAGAAAACAAATAATTTCATATTCTTCCAAATATATTGGGGGCAGGAGGGAAATACAATAATAGAGCTGACTGGAACTCAGTCCTCCATTGCCTTTTCCCTTTTAGAGTTTTCCCAAAAAACATGCTGAGAACAGCTACTCAGAGTCAGTGAGTCCAGCTCCTTTGGGAAAAGACATCCCCATGGCTTGCAAGTTAAGCGATATACAGACCCACCACGAAGGCATCAATACAAAGCTAGCTGAGCTGCTTCAGAATCTCCAGACTCCTGAGAACTGGAGAGGTTAACCCCTCCCACACCCACACAGAACAGAGCTCCAGTTTCTGTCCAACACAGACACAATGAGAGTGTCTCATCCACACTCTGGATCTAAACGTGAGTCTGGGACACAGCATCGCCCTTCTCCTTGACTGGCTCCAACCTCCGGCAGGTTGATTCCACATCCACGAAGTTCCACTAAAATAGCTCATGCTCACTTTAAGGTATCATCATGATCCAGAGGAAGGGATATGCTACACTTACTAAAGCCACATATGCTGCTCTTAATGAGGCTCTGAAGCTTTTAGAGAGAAGCTTGTTTTCTTTCCACTTGGTGCTACTTTCCTGTGAGCTATGCTATCTGAGCCTGACCTCCACCCCTTTGGCTTGCCCACTTTATTCCTGTAAGACTCCTGGCTTCCCTTGCTACTTCTTTTCAGCCTCGTTCTCTTTCATACTTGTGCTAAGGGTGTTAAAGATTAGTCAACTAGTCGACTATCCTTTTGGATAGTCAGTCGACTAGTCGATTCCCCCACACACACTTTGCTGCCTCTATCACATAGAGGCAGCAAAAGGGGTGGGGAAAGGGGAGTATTTCAAAGGGCAGCGCCGCACAGCTGATCGCAGGCTCAGCTGTGCGGCACTGCCCCTTTGAACACCGCCTCGGCGTTTCAAAGTGGCAGCATGGCGTGGAGCCCAGGGTCAGGTGTGGACTCCACAACTGATCCCGGGCTCCATGTAGCATTTTCCTGGAACCCAGGATCAGCTGGGGAGTCCCCAGCTGATCCCCAGTTCTGCTGAACATGGACCCCAGGGTCAGCGGGGGACTCAAATTCCCCCACTGGCCCCGGGCTACAGGAGTGCACTTCCTCTTTGACATGCACAAGAGCCCCTGCTAGGAACTCTTGTACATTTCAAAGTTGGCACACCCGTGTAATTTCCATCAACTACTCAACTAGTCAATAGGCACTTCCGCATTCCTCCTTTGAAATGTACAAGAGCCCCCACCATGGCTCTTGTACATTTCAAAGGAGGAATGCGGAAGTGCCTATTGACTAGTTGAGTAGTTGATGGAAATTCCATTGACTACTCGATCAGTAAATTAACCACAATTTAACATCCCTAACTTTTTCCCCACACACACACTTCAGACACACCCTCATATCCTCAAATCCACACACAAGGAAGTTTTTCATCCAGGTTCTGTAGCAACTAGCAGACCACATCCCTCTATCGTTTGCGCCCAGACTTATGACCGTCTAGGGTTACCATATTTAACGTTTATAAAAAAGGGTGTATCTGTATCAGTATCTACCAACTCACGTTGTGTTGTTAGATACTGATACAGATACTATAACACATTAATACAATGTGAGTTGGTAGATACTGATACAGATACACTCCCTCTCAGGGTATGTCTACACAATAGAGTTTTGTTGGAAAAACACTCATTTTTCCGACAAAACCTGAGTTACATCCATACCGCAATTGTGTTCTTCAAAAACTAAATCAAAAGAACAGAGGGGTTTTTCTATCGTTGGTAATCCTCTTTCTACGAGGAAGAAGCCTTTTCCTGAAAGAGGCCTCTCGGAAAAAGGTGTGTGAGGATGGGGAAGAGGAAGTTCTTTCAAAAGAAGAAGAGGAAAGAGGAAAAAGCACAGGTGCCCTTGTGGCCACTCCATCCATAATAATCACAGCTTAAATGCGAGATAGCATCCATTCAGTGTGGATGCTATCTTTCGAAAAAGCAGATCACTTTTGTATGTGGACACTCTCTTTCAGAAGAAGTTTTTCCAGAAGATCTCTTCCAAAAAAAAGGTCCTTCCGAAAGAAGTCTACAGTCTAGACATAGCCTCAGGTGTGTCCTCTTTTTTGACACTTCAAATATGGTAAACTTAGGTCTATTCCCTCTACTTTCATTAGGGTTGCCCGGTGTCACAGTCCAGTATTTGAGCTTTCTGTTCAGGAAACAAATTGAGAAAATATAAATGAGAAAATATAAATGTCCGGTATTTTCTAAGTGAGATGTAATGTAGATTGTGATGTAATGTCAAGTGTGTCCGGTTGAAACCATCTGGCAACCCTAACCTTCATATCCTCTTTTCTCTCCTTGGTCCCCTGCAGTCTGGTTTTCCTGGAACACCACCAAAGCTGTCCATACAATGTCATCAATCCCCCTGTTAGTCCAAGACAAAGGACCTTTTCTCTCCAACCAAGGAGGATGAGACATCTGCTGCTTTTTCCTCACTCATTTATCCTGAATCCTCATTGTTTAACTGTAACCTTAGCCTTGCCTGGTTCTCCTCCCCCATTTCCAAACTCACCTTCAAAGCCTCCTTTTATTAATGGCTCCTTTCCCTGCTGCGATCCCTCAGGGATTGCCCTCCTTAGCACATTCCTTCGCTCAGTCTACACATTTTCCCTGGTGGCATCTCCCACACAGCATCTATTTCCATCTTCCAAATGACTCCCAAAATCAGTCTCCCTACCTCTGGATAGTCTCACATCTGACACTTCACTCTGATGGTCCTGCGTCTGATACAAACAGGATGCAAAATGAACCTCTCAGGAGTTTTCATGGTTTTGTGCCCATCCACATACCTTTGTGCTATTATAGAAATAATGTATATAAAGTACTAACAAACAGAGGCCAAAGTGTCGCTACCAATGCTATGAAAAACAAATCCTGTAATGACTCCAGTATTGATCAAGAGCAAAGCATTTTAAAAATTTTATTAGTCTATATTTGCAAGATTAGGAGCTGGATAACTTAAATTTTGAAAATGTTCAGCCAATCAGGGTGTGAATTAATCTTTACTTTTTTGTAAAAGAAAAAATTTAGGGACTAAAGAATCCCAAGCATAGTTACAAGCTGGGGACCAACCGGTTAAGTAGTAGTTCTGCAGAAAAGGACCTGGGGATTACAGTGGATGAGAAGCTAGATATGAGTCAACAGTGTGCCCTTTTAGCCAAGAATTCTAATGGCATATTAAGTTGCATTAAGAGGAGCATTGCCAGCAGATCCAGAGATGTCATCATTCCCCTTTATTCGGCTTTGGTGAGGCCGCATCTGGAGTATTGTGTCCAGTTCTGGGCCCCCCACTACTAAAAGGATGTGGATGCATTGGAGAGGGTCCAGCGGAGGGCAACCAAAATGATTAGGGGGCTGGAGCATATGACTTATGAGGAGAGGCTGAGGGACTTGGGTCTGTTTAGTCTGCAGAAGCGAAGAGGGAGGGGGGATTTGATAGCAGCCTTCAACTTCCTGAAGGGAGGTTCCAAAGAGGATGGAGAGAGGCTGTTCTCAGTAGTGACAGATGGCAGAACAAGGAGCAATGGTGTCAAGTTGTGGTGGGAGAGGTCCAGGTTAGATATTAGGAAAAACTATTTCACTAGGAGGGTGGTGAAGCACTGGAATGGGTTACCTAGGGAAGTAGTGGAGTCTCCATCCCTAGAGGTGTTTAAGTCTCGGCTTGACAAAGCCCTGGCCGGGTTAATTTAGTTGGAATTGGTCCTGCCTAGAGCAGGGGGCTGGACTTGATGACCTTCTGAGGTCTCTTCCAGTTCTATGATTCTATGATTCTAGGACTGATCCTCTGCTCTTTGGTCCTGCTGGGGCTATTTACACCTGTGTAAAGTGATCTTAAGGCACTCCCAGGCTGAACTGGCAGTGTTTTGCATGAGTGCAATTGACTCTGACAAAAATAAGGCTGTGTAAAATCAGGCTCTTCACTTGTGCTCCCAATACTTCTGTCTCATAGCTATGCTACAGGAATTACTAGGGGGTGAGATCCAGGGCTTGTGTTATGCAGGAGGACAGAGTAGCTGATTGCAATGACCCCTTCTGGCCTTAAAAATCTCTGATCCCCACATCTCCCCTTTCCTTGGCCTCACAGCCTCAGTGATGGGTCTGATTTCTCTCTCTCTCTCCTCCTGTCACACCCAGGGCAGCAGCAGATCCTCTGAATTCTTCCTCTACAGCATCTCTAAAATGGCTGGACTCCATCTCACACACATGGATAAATCCCTTGGCCAGCAATTTCTAACCACCAATGTTACTGCAACGTTTTCTTCTCTGATAGCCTGAATTCTCCCCTTACTTCTGCTTGCTGCCTGCAGAATGCTGCTGGGAAAGATTGCTCTTGCCTATCCTTTGGGCTTTTCCATTCCCATTTAAATCCCTTCACTGGCTTTTCCTCTGGTGCTTCAGATTCAAGCATCTCATCTTCTGCTCCTAACCGAATCTACTCCTATTATCTGCAGAGATGCTCTTCCTTCACAGCTGTCTCCC